AAGACGGCGCGCCTATTAAACAGACCGAACTCATGAGGCTTAAGACCAGACCCGACGGCAGCGTTTGTCTGACCATCGATTGCGCCAAACTATCGGACGCCGGAAAGTACGCCGTCTTCGCGAAGATTGGCAACAGAGGCGTCGGTTCAATGTCTGTCGTCTCCGTCACGAAAGCGCCCGAAGAAGAGAAACCACAGGAAGAAGAAGAGGCGCCCGAAGAGGACCAACAAATGGAGTTTAAGGACAAACTGCCCAAAGCCTTAACAGTAGTCGAAGGAAGTCCATTGAAACTCGTGGCGAAGATCGCCCGACGAGGCGAACGGATTCCCGCATTAAAGTGGACTAAAAATGGGGCTCCGGTTGAAGAGTCCGATCGCGTGTATCGCGAGTCGACGCCCAACGGAACCGTTGCGCTGAAGATCGACAGCGCTTTGCTATCAGACGCCGGAAACTATACGCTGAGCTTCAAGACAGCCGACGGTATGAAGAGTTGCAACGTTGCCGTTCAGATCACACGTAAGCTATTATAACATTCATTGTTTAAAATGCGTTAAATTATTGATAATATCTAGACTTAGGAATTATAATCGTTAAAAATATTTTAATTGTTGGAAAAATGTAAAAAACTTTAGTCTATTGTTTAGAAATATCAAACCCGTGTTTTAAATGTTGAAGTTGTTTTACAAGTTGTTATATAAATATGCCATTTAATTGTTATGCCTAACACTAGTAATACTTACAAATTAGTCTCGCATTTTTCAACAATTACAACAATTAAATATTTTTAACGATTATAATTCCTAAGTCTAATGATATCTACATCTAATGATTTATGTTGTGTTTTATTGATATTGTTTTACAGCCAAATCGACTATAGATAAGCCGGTCTTCATTAAAGGTCTGTCTAGAATGAGCGCAGAGGAGGGAAAGTCGTGTCGATTGGAGTGTAAGGTTTCGGGAGATATTGAAACAATCAATTGGTTTAAAAATGGAGAGAAAATATCGGCGAACCAACACTTCGGGTTCGTTAGGGATTCGGACGGAACTCTGGCTCTACTCATAGATTCCCTTAAATCCGATGATTCGGCCGAATATTCTGTGGAAGTGGTGAATAAGAGCGGAAAGGCTGACACCTCTGCCGCCCTTAAAGTCGTACAGAAGGCCAAAGAAAAGCCAATATTTTTGGAGGAATTGAAGCCAATTATGTCGAGTGAAGGAAATCAACTAATTTTGAAAGCCGTCTATAAGTCAGACCTTCCGGCGACCGTTAAATGGATGAAAGATGGCTTTGACCTGAAGGCCGATCATAGGATTCAAATACATGAGGGACCGGACGGTACGGTCACTCTGACCATAGAGTCGGCCCTTATGGACGATAGCGGGAAATATACGGTTTCGGTGATCAATGATGAGGGAAGAGTGCGAAGCA